TAAAAGATATTATGAAGTGCGTGAGAGATTAGAGTGTTTCTATATATATATATATATATATATATATATATATATATTTATATATAATATTTCCGTTTCTTATTTTTAGACATCAGTAGTGTTTGTGTTTGTATTTATCATGTTCAAGGTCTATATTAGAGTCTGTGCCTCATAGAACACACGACAATGGAGGAGAAAATATTACAACTCAAATTTTTTACTTCAATGGCTACCACGATTTTATGCTTACAGAGGATGATTTGTGTCGTCCATGGAGATAAGTTTTGGGAGTTGTAAGGAAGTTATTTTTGCTCTCCAATGCTCTGGGTTTGGACGCGTGAAAATGAAGACGGGAGTGTTGGGAACAAGTCGGTATACTTGTCCCAACATCAGCATGCAGTGGTAGTGTGGGTTAAGGATAACGTTTCAGAATTCAGAAGTTTCTTCTTCGTCCAAATTGGAAGAGAAGAAAAACGAAGTTAAGTAATGTAATATATTATATTATGTCGTATTTTCATTTTAATGGAATTTTTTTCATTCCATTCCCATCCACTAGCTAAATAAATAAATAAAAAGGAGTACTTACTGGAAACAGGAGAGGATGTCCCGTGCAAAACGTGGAGTAGAATAACAGTTTGACCTCTGGTGAGAAGAGAATCAGCTGCCCATTTGAGAGCGTAATGGCTTCCTTTATCCTTATCTATAGCCACTGCCACTAATCCATTTCCTCCTCCTACTCCCTTTCTAATCCCTGATGATTTAGGATTTGGAAGCCACATTTCTCTTCTTGTCACCCAACGCAACTCTCATATCATATATATCCCTGGATTACCCAAATTAATTTCAAAATTACTCTTCATGTGCATTCTTATTCTTTATAATAAACACCCTATTATGTAACAAAACTTAGTTCTTAACTGAAAGTCGAAAACGGTATATAGAAAACTATCCTTAATTTACGGGCAATCAATCAACATTATCTTTTCTTATCCTATTAGTTAGAGGGTATAACACAAAAGAAGATACAAGCGCCTTAAAAAAATAAGTGCATTTTCCCTAACTAAAGGGTCAACCGTCAACAAAGATTATCACCATGAACTTTATATTTTTTTTAAAGTAATTAAGAACTAAGGAGAAATACAAAAAAAAAAAAAAAACACGAGAGTTGTCTGGGGTACGATGCCATGAATAAATATTAAGTACTTTCCAATTTTTTTTAAAGAAAGTAACTAGTTGAATTATAATCAGTGATATCGTAATGTAGAACCATATGATCTCTATTCTCTTAAACCTTAAATTACATGATATTTTAAAATATATTTTTTTTAAAAAGGGCAAACAAATAAAATGTAATAATAAAATAAATAGTTATCACTCTTTAAAAGAAATATAAATAAATTTTTTAAAATTTTTAAATTTTTTTATTTTAAAATATCACATCACTAAATGTCACATTATCTGTACTAATATATAAAGGGAATACCCTTTTCAGTAACTATCGTGGTCTCCATTTTTTTTTACCATTATACTCTTTTATTCTAAAAAATTAAAAAAAAAATATTTTTAATCAAATTTAAGAACTTAAAATTAATTGACTAATTATAACATTAGATTAACTTATATTTATTACTTAATTTAATAGAGGCACGAAGTGCCTAGACCATACTAGTTTAAATAATAACAATATTGATAATTACAAGTCAATATTAAAATTTAATAGTAAATAAATATTAAATATATAACTAAAAATTTTCATGCTAAAATTAGAAAGATTAAAAGTTTTTATTCTAATTAAAATAGAAGACAAAAAATTATAAATTGACAAAAATAAAAAATTAAATACGCAATTTAGCTATTATATATAATAACATTCACAAAAAATAGTTAGGAGGTAAAACTTGGTTAACCGTAGAGAGGGTCATGGACGCAGGGCCATTTAAAACTTTTACAAAATAATATACATACATAAATAATAATTTTAAAAAAAGTGTATATGTTTAGTGTATATATTTTTATTCATCTAAATTACAATGAGGATACTTTAGTTAATATAAGATTTTGTGTATATTATTTTAATTTTTAATATATATATATAATTATTTTTATAATATTGTTAAATATTATTTAAAGTTATTTATTTCTGATTGTCTCACCAATAAAAATTCACTAAAAGATTATAGAAGATTTAATTTGTATTAAGCTATTGAAAGAGAACTAAGAAGATAATCTTCGGCCACTTTCTCTATTACTATTATTTTTATAGATAATATTATATAAATATTGAACTTTAAGTTTTTGTCTCTAAAAAAAAAAAACTTTAAGCTTTTGTTTTATAACATCGACTATTATGACTGGTTTAAAAATACTTTTTATACATGCATTGACTACTTTATTAACTAATTGCAGTTTCATAATATAAAAATAATTTTGAATTTTTAAAATAATTTTTCTACGACTATATCCTTATTCTACAATAGTGACTTGGACCCATTAAATTTTCTTGTGAACACTTTTTACAAATAATTTCTACAATTTTTCTATTAATTTTGAAGAAAAATATGATTATTTCCTTTAATTTTGTCGAAATTTTAATTTAAAAAATATTTTCCCCACATATTCTCATCTATAATTTCTTCATGAAGCGTTGATAGGACGTTTTCACTGTTAATAAGAAATAGGATAATTTTTTTAATTCATCCGTGACTTGTTCATAAACTCTCCTTAATGCCTAATTTTGCTAGCTTCTGGTATTTTTTAACCAAAACTATGTTGTTGCTGTGGCAGATGGTATGTTTATTATTTGATTATACATACAATATTAATTTTTGTGTAACATATATTCAGAAGGTTGTAAGATATAATTTATGACGTAGTGACATAGATTTTTCGTACAGTTTCAATGTTATAATTCTTTTCGTAACAAATATTGAAATTTAATTGGTAAGTAACTATTTAATAATTATAATAATATATACAATTTTGTAGATAAATAAATATATTATTACAAAAAGATGAGGATATTGTTATTATGAATTGACAGTTTAAAATAGTCTTATACGGTTATTCAATAAAAAAGTTGTTATTATGATAATTTGTTCACTTTCATGTTAATTATTTTGAAAGTTATATTAATAGTGATTTTTAATTGATGTACTGTATAAAAACTTATACATTGATTGTGGACTAAACTTTTTCTATTATTAGTCTCTGATAATATTTGTTCATAAGTAATATACAATAAATATATAAGAAGTGGATTGAATTGTGTTTATTAAAATCTTTAATATATATATATATATATATTAGTTTCACTTTTGTAATAGCAGGTTAGCTAATATAGCAATAGGATTTTCCTTGTTGCTGCTTTCTCTTTCTAGCCTGCCTAACTTTGCAAAGTGACCATAAAATTCATGTTCTGATCAATCTCTTTTTTACGAATTCCGATTATCTCAGACAACTTTTGTTCGGTTTGGTTATAGTAAAGACACGATTAATCGGGTTTGAGAGGCATAGAAAAGAAAATCTTTAAAGTGTGAATTGAGATCACCTTGGAGTGTTGAGGGATTGGTGATAGAGACGAGAGCAGCCAGGGCATTGATTGGCACTACCTACAGTGGCGAGACACCATTCAGCACAAAGAAAGCAACACTAGCAGTTTGATTCTTGCTTATCTTTGAACGATTGCTGCTTAATAAGGTGGGTCCAATCGTACTGTTTTAATGCAACATGGAGCACCCATTATGATTTTCCCCCAGGTAACCAACCCCACAAGTGGCCCTTGAGCTTTATCATAATGGGAATCCAAAGAGTAACGCCAAGACCGAAAGTTTTGAGTTTCTTTGGGGGATGTACATTTCTGATAGTAACAGGATATGACCCAAAACTAAATGCCTACCATTCAAACTACATGAATTATCTGTTGCACTTGCACCCCATGAGTTGCGCCATATACTTCCAAACGCACCGCAAACTAAGTTTCAACTGGCCACATTAATTCATATCACATCACCCAGGCCCAAGACAGATTTTCTTTAACAATTTCTGAATAAAATGCTTTAACATATGAACACAGCATGCTACTTATATCACGTCTCGTGACTTACAAAGAGCATAACATGTGCCCTTGTTGTTTTTCATGTGAAATCTCAAAACCTCGTTTCATTTCAATATAATATACAATCAAGGAATATAAGCCAAACATTCTTTAAATATATATATATTTTTTTTTTTACAATAATGAACACACAATTATAGGATGCAAGCGAGATACCAAGAACATGAGAAAATTATCCTGTTGGTCTCAACTACCAAGTATTGAACTTGGTGGAGAGCTTGACCACAATATTGGCTATTTTATGTTCAAACCATTTCTATTTCTTATGCTACTTGTTCAGAACAAATACAAGGTAAGTGACCAAAGACTTAAGATCAGGGGTCAACAACATTAAAAAGTCAGTCCAAATGAGTAGTTTTATCTTAAATGCGTTATTATCTCATTTTGATCAAAATATCTCAAATCTTAACCAATCTATAACTCATTTTAATCAACGTTGTTTAAAGGTTAGTATACATCTTAAACCTATCTCAAATACATCATTTATGAATGTGTAAATTAACTACAACTTAATATACATACTCATTGTAATATTATCAGATAATTTAACAACAAAATAAATAATATTTATCAAGTATAAAATGATATTAAAAGGTTATTAGCTTTGCTTAAACTTATACCAGTATAGTAACATAATTCTCTCTATCTATTACACACATTTATCACCTAATAATATTGATCTCACAAGTCAGTTTAATATGTGTAATTGATCAACTAAGATGATTTTTTTTTTGGTAAAGCAACTAAGATGATTGATAAGTCATTGTTCAATCACCATTAAAAAAAAATCTTACACCTAGGGAGATTCATGAACGGGTGTTTATGAATATGAGTACTCTACGAAGAATTTTTTTTTTATAAAAAAAAGTAGAGGAAACCAACTAAAAAAATTATTTTTATTTAACAAATATATAGATAAAATTTCATATAATATTATATTTCAAAACATTATTTATATAATTAATCTATTAAAAAGTTAATTATATATATATATATATATAAAGAAAAATTAAACATTTTTTTTTTCTGAAAAAAATTAGGATTATAAATGTCAAACATAGTTTATGATATAAATCAATATCTACATTAGCTATTAAGTTTTAGAAAAGATTCAAATAAAACTTTACTAAATCGATTATATTACTTGTCTGTTTAATTTTTATATTGTGTTTGTAAGTTAGCTCCATTCACAAAAGTTAATAAATACTTTATAAATCTTAAATTAATTATAATCAAATAAATATAAATAAAATACTAATAAAATTATTTGATTACATATGCAATTACATATATCTTATCTTAGTTTTTAAAAGAAAAATAACAAATAATAAAAGGAAAATATTAAAAATAAAATAAATTATGATATTTTATCCTAAAAAGGAAAGAATAAATTTATCTCGCAATAGAGACTATTAAAAAGAAGTAAAATATTTATATAAAATGAAGAGAAAAACATCTATATCTACCAAAAAAATGTTTTATGAAAAAAAAATCACACTCAAATAATATGAGTATTTAGAAAAAAAAATAAAAATAAAAAGGATATGTCGGCTGCAGGTTTTTCGAGCGGCTCGACATTTTAAATTATGTTTGCTAGTTTTTTTCCTTGATATTTAAACTATATAATTATTGTAATAATTATTTTTATTGAAATTAGAAAGGTTGAGACATGTCTCTATTAATTACACATAAATTAAAAATACATATAAAAAAATTTATATTCAAAAAATATAATTATCTACTAAAAAGTAGAGATCTAATTATCAAAATATATCTTTTTTATAATAAGTATAAATATTTATTTTTAATATAAATAAAATATAAATAATTAATTAATTTTATTATCAATTTAAAAAATATTAAAAATTTATAATGCAACAGTTTTTTTTATAATAATTTTAATATGAAAATGCGTATATATAATATATTAATATTATTATCATTTTATAAAAGTTATAGAAAAAGAGCCTGTATATATTACACTTAATTATTTAGTTAAAAGTTTATAAAATTTATAATTTTATTTAATTTTTTGTCTCTTAATTATTAATAAAATTTAATAAGAAAACTGGCTGCCCATACTCTTACAGAGCTAATTTGACCCAAATCCGATTCTGACATGAGTTAAAAAACTCTACATTTAATTTAAATTTAAAATTTAGAGTCCACATATATAATTTATACCGCTATAGCTTACCTGACCCATTTTACCAAATTTACTGATAAGACAAGTTTCAAATTTTAATGTATGAGGCAGATTACAAGCTTAATAAGACATGTTTCGGTTTTTAAATTATTCAACGACGCTCAAAATCACTGTCCTCAATTAGAAGCTCCTAAGAACAATCTCGGTCTAATTGTTGGAAAGAGAGTTTTGCTAACTAGCTGGGTCGAGTGGTGAGGGACAAGTCGGCAATTCGGCTGGCCAGTACACTAGCCCCCCAAGCACCAAGTGATGTAAGAGCAAAGGGGTTTCTGAGGAGTTCCCAAATTTGTTGTTTGAAGGTTCAAATTCGACCTTGTTAAGTAGATGTGATCTCAAGGTTCGGACTCGACCTTGGCATATCAAGGTTCGAACTCGACCTTGGTTAAGAAAATGTGATCTCAAACTCGACCTTGGGATCTCAAGGTTCGAACTCGACCTTGGCAAGTCGTCATGGTTAATGTGCCAATACCGAAAATGTATGGGAATGGAGTTGCTTTGTTGATTTATTTCTGAGGTGTGCCTCGTTAAAACCTTCCTTGGCCAAAAACCCTTTTCTTTAGTGGGAAAAAAGGCTGAGGAGGAAAAAGAGTACATCACCTGAATTTACAAGTTAAGAGAAATAAAATTTGAGGTGGGTGGAATTCCAAGTTCCAAATTTTCCTTTGGAGGGGTCTGTTCTTGCTTCTCCCCGTAATCGCCAAACAAGGTCGCCAACTTTAAATGTTCGTGGCCTGACCTTGGTCTTGCTTTCCTTGTGGTTTGTCGCGAATTGCCTTGCGGAACTCGGCATGCTCCTCCATCTGGATGTACCCAGCAGCGCGAGCTCGGAGCTCGTCCATGTCGGGAGGAGGTCGTCGGCAAAGGCTGTCGACGAAAGGTCCTGGCTTCAACGCCATGAGCATGGAGTGCAGTGCGACCTCGGGGTTTAAGTTGCGGATTTTGACGGAGATGCCAGCGAAGCGCTCCATGAATGTCCTTAATGGTTCGTCGTCGCCCTGTCTGAGGATGGCCAAGGCGGCGGATGTGATGTGATGAGGTCGGCTCGTTGCGTATTGCACCGTGAACCGTCTGACCAGGGTGCCGAAGCTGTCAATTGACTCGGCAGGTAGCTGGGTGTACCAGTTGAGCGCGGCCCCTTTGAGCGAGGTCGGAAAAACCCTACACAGAATAGCATCGTTATTGGTGTAGAGGTTTACCTGTGTGGTGTACAGGTTGATGTGCTCGTCTGGGTCTGTCGTGCCGTCGTAGCGGTCGAGGTGGAGAGGCTTCCATCCGAGAGGGAGTGGCGTCTCCATAATGCCATCCACAAAAGGATGACGGCGGAAGGTTGGTTGATCCCCCGCGACATGAGTAGGAGCATTGCTGACCTCATGGGCCGATTTGTGTGTCGGTGCATGAGATCGATGCGTGGCAGGCTTTGGAGTCGGTGTCCTATGCGCTATTGGCGGTTGAGAAACCGAGTGCCCCTCTTCCTCGTTTAGGTGACTCGGTTGAGGGGGTTGATCAGAGGTGCGCCGTGGTAGCTGAGCGCGGATACGCTCATTCTCGGCGCGCAGCGCCGCTAGGTCTGCTTCATTGGCGGTTCGCATCGCGGCTAGGTCAGTTTCGTGCTTGGCACGCATGTTTTGCAGATCGGCGGTGTGTTGCTGCCGCATCTGCTCGACCTGCTCGATCAGCCTTCTCAATGCTGCTTCGTTGTCCATGGTAGTTGCGTGATCTAGGTCGTCTGTTGCGCGTCTGCTATGGCTTCTGGTGAAAACCATAAGCGTGGCCGATAAGAGCTGTCTTGATCGGCCCCACGGTGGGCGCCAAATGTTCTTACCGGAAATCTGCTGTAGAGATGATCCTCCGAGTAAGATTGGTGAGCCTCCTTCGCTGGTACGGTTGATGCTCCAAGATGGGGGTGGTACCTGCAAAAGAGACTCCGATGCTAAAGTTAGTGTTTGTGGGAGTATGAGTCTCGTATAAGTAATGCACGTACCTTTGTGTGTATTAGGGTTTTGTTGGGCCTTGGGCCCGAGATCAGTTTATGACCTAATTGGATAGCGAGCCGATGTCGCCTAGCGCGTGTCCGAGGTCACTCCGCGCTGTGATGCCGAGCTCGAGCTCGGCATAGCGGTACGGATAGTACACTAGCCCCCCGAGCTCCGAAGACCGTAGGTCGAGGAGTTAAGACCGAGCTTGACAAGGGGTCGTGACTTTTCGCGTACGCCTATTTGTCATGACGCCATGTGTCATAACCGTCACCTCGTTCCCATAACGCGTGGGCGGCGCGGTGACAAGATTGTATTTTTATTTGTTTGATGACGTGGCCTCTTTGGGCCGATGTGGTGTTCCGATGTCCATGTTTCATGGTCGGGCTGAGGAGCTCGGCAATAATGAGCTTACTGCTTGGTTAGGCTGGTAAACCTTTGACCGAGTCAGCAGATTGGTGAGGGACAAGTCGGCAACTCGGCTGGCCAGTACACTTGCCCCCCAAGCACCGAGTGATGTAAGAGCAAAGGGGCTTCTGAGGAGTTCCCAAATTTGTTGTTTGAAGGTTCAAATTCGACCTTGTTAAGTAAATGTGATCTCAAGGTTCGGACTCGACCTTGGCATATCAAGGTTCGAACTCGACCTTGGTTAAGAAAATGTGATCTCAAGGTTCGGACTCGACCTTGGCATATCAAGGTTCGAACTCGACCTTTGTTAAGAAAATGTGATCTCAAGGTTCGGACTCGACCTTGGCATATCAAGGTTCGAACTCGACCTTTGTTAAGAAAATGTGATCTCAAGGTTCGGACTCGACCTTGGCATATCAAGGTTCGAACTCGACCTTGGTTAAGAAAATGTGATCTCAAGGTTCGGACTCGACCTTGGCATATCAAGGTTCGAACTCGACCTTGGTTAAGAAAATGTGATCTCAAGGTTCGGACTCGACCTTGGCATATCAAGGTTCGAACTCGACCTTGGTTAAGAAAATGTGATCTCAAGGTTCGGACTCGACCTTGGCATATCAAGGTTCGAACTCGACCTTGGTTAAGAAAATGTGATCTCAAGGTTCGGACTCGACCTTGGCATATCAAGGTTCGAACTCGACCTTGGTTAAGAAAATGTGATCTCAAGGTTCGGACTCGACCTTGGCATATCAAGGTTCGAACTCGACCTTGGTTAAGAAAATGTGATCTCAAGGTTCGGACTCGACCTTGGCATATCAAGGTTCGAACTCGACCTTGGTTAAGAAAATGTGATCTCAAGGTTCGGACTCGACCTTGGCATATCAAGGTTCGAACTCGACCTTGGTTAAGAAAATGTGATCTCAAGGTTCGGACTCGACCTTGGCATATCAAGGTTCGAACTCGACCTTGGTTAAGAAAATGTGATCTCAAGGTTCGGACTCGACCTTGGCATATCAAGGTTCGAACTCGACCTTGGTTAAGAAAATGTGATCTCAAGGTTCGAACTCGACCTTGGCATCAAGGTTCGGATTCGACCTTGGCAACGTAATTTGTATTTGAAGGTTCGAACCCGACTTTAACATCAAGGTTCGAACTCGACCTTGGCAAGTCGTCATGGTTAATGTGCCAATACCGAAAATGTATGGGAATGGAGTTGCTTTGTTGATTTATTTCTGAGGTGTGCCTCGTTAAAACCTTCCTTGGCCAAAAACCCTTTTCTTTAGTGGGAAAAAAGGCTGAGGAGGAAAAAGAGTACATCACCTGAATTTACAAGTTAAGAGAAATAAAATTTGAGGTGGGTGGAATTCCAAGTTCCAAATTTTCCTTTGGAGGGGTCTGTTCTTGCTTCTCCCCATAATTGCCAAACAAGGTCGCCAACTTTAAATGTTCGTGGCCTGACCTTGGTCTTGCTTTCCTTGTGGTTTGTTGCGAATTGTCTTGCGAAACTCGGCATGCTCCTCCAATATATATAAATATAAAAAACCTTCAATTTCTGCTACAGTTCGTTCGTGGCAAAATTCGCACGTGCCTTTACATGGGGACGGTGTAACCGACTTTCTAAGGTAAAAGAATCGTTGATCATAGTCGTTGATAGTTGTGGTTACTTCCGATTCTATTTAGTATTTCGAACTTCTGAAGGGTTTGTACCCGATTGTCCAGCGTTTAGGTTCGTTGTAACCCATCGAAGTTAGGGTTTATTTGTTCTTTGACTGCTTTTACTTGATTTGATTTGATTTACTATCTACCGGGGGTTAGTCACTGTTATTATCATGGATAATTAAATTTATTTAATCTAATTTTAATATTTCAATTACCAATCACGAGCAGAGGGGGATTTGCTTACCGGAATTTCATCTGCGCCTTTCCTTTTGATAGAGTTCAGCAAGTTTTATAATGGTTGCTTGTATTCAATATATTTTGTCATTTCCTTCTAGATTTTGTAACTTCCGATGTCTTTCTTCTTCGTACTTTGGGTATATGAATTGTTGACTTTTGATATACCTTAAGCCGGAATTTGACAGGGTTTACTTGCTACATTTTGGTGCTAGGATTGTTGGATTGTTCTGTGACTTATGTCAAATAATCTTATTTAGTTTTCTATTCCCCTTCAAGATATGCATATAAGTTATCCTGTTGTTTGGTTCTTACATGACAATTGGGTTTGTGGTACAGCCGAACGGCTGAACTGCTAGTTGATGGTGGAATCCTGGCACAGGTTTTAGAAATGCAATATTTGGTTGGTAAAACAAATGTGAAGAATAAAGAAAATGAAACTGCAGGCACAGATTCCAGAAAAGATATCAGGGAGGTACCTAATCAATCAGGGTTTCAGTTGCCTGGTCTGATTCAACTGAATGGAATTGCCCTACCCCAGATTCCAAATTTAGGTGTTTTTCCTACTATGGACACGGAATTTCTTAGAGCACGTTCTTTTATGTTAGAAAAAATGTAAGTTTTGTTTTTCTATGTTTCTATATTGTTTATCTTTTTGGTGCACATTCAATCTGGTGACTGCATCATATCATATGATAAGTTTTATCAATAGGTTAGGGTATTCATATGGGTAATATTTTTTTTTTTTGGTGAACTAACATGGGTAATGTTTATTTTTCTTAAGTAAAGCTAATTGACACAACACAACCTAGTAAGACAACGAATGATTGTTGTTGTTGTATGAAGTATGAACCTAACTATGTGATATAAGATACATAATGTCATGCTAGGAAATAACCCATTGAACTAATCTAAAACAAGCAAGAGGAATAGTTTTTTATAGAGCTCAATGACATTGATCAAGCAACCCCACATAGCAGGATAAGGGCATAAGCTTGGTGCTTCTCATGGTAAAACAAAATGGAAAGTAAAATAATTTGGGAACTTAATTATTCTAACTAGTAGAAAAAGAGGCACGATATTTATTGTTAAAAATATTGTGAAAAAATAAATTCTATTAAATATAAAGATAATAATATCAAATACAAAAATGAAAATCAAAATGATAGTTATTAAAACTTATTCCCTTTATAGATTTTTTTTATTTTATTTTTTTTTATTTTATTTTATATTTTAGAGGTATAATGGTCCACTAAAAAATGGAGACCAAAAACAGTTACATATTTATCCCCTTTATAATAAGTATAGATATATTTGTTTTATGTCCAAGTTAATGCATTGTGTCTTACATGTAAGTCTTGGTGTGATCTTTAGGCTATAAGATATGACAATAGGTTCTGTTTAGTCATTTTCATAATTTTATTGCTTAACTTTGTATTAGCCATCTCAGTCTAACAAAGTTGTTGACTAGGATCCTTGTAGTATAGGTGCCATTATGTGAGCTGAATGATTTTATCTCCATCTTTGATTCTATTATGCGCCCTTGGCCCCATCTATCTTTGATTTTCTTAACTTGAAAAAATTATAATATACAGATAAGATTAGAATGTGATAATCTTTGTTTTAGATATGAAGGCATTCACATGCATTTACTGAACGTCTTTAGCTTTTGGGATAATTCTTTCATGATATTGTATCAAAGCCTTTATGTCAATGCCTGAGCAGCTGTGTTTGACAATTGACAGTGCTTTCACCGAAGAACTTGAGCTTTTAGGATAATTAGTTTATGGCAATCTTTTAATGTTTATGTCAATTTTACTTAACAACAATAAATAAATTACCTTTTACCTTCCAGATATAACATACTATTGCAGCGGAACCAGCATCCAGTTACAGAAGCACATAGAAAGAAGGTTAAGGATCTTGCAAAGCGTCTTGAAGAGGGCATGTTAAAATCTGCTATCTCTAAGGTTTTTCTGGGCCTCTAGCTGATTTTCTTTTCCAATATTTAGAGGGATCTCGTACAAATTATTTTTCCTCTGTTTAAATCCCTGAGATTTCTGTAAGTTACGACATGGGACCTTTACACGGTTTCCTTGGTTAATCCTAGGATCTCTGGATCGTTCTCTGGTTTTATATGCTTTTGTCAACAGTTACTATTTTTAGTGCTGATGATGTTTTGAACTTGTCTTATAGGAGGACTACATGAACTTGGACACTCTAGAGAGCCGCTTATCTAATTTCTTTAGGCTGTCATCTATGAATAATCACAACCAACAACATCCACAGCTTGTTAGCTCTTCTCCGATTGGTACAATGATACCAACCCCTGGTATGTCAAATGTTACAAATTCAACCATGAACATAGCATCTTCTGTGGATGCCTCAATGATTGCTGCCAGTGGAGTTAACAGCATAGCATCCTCATCTGTCAATAATGTAAGCATGTTACCAGCAGGTGGCATGCTTGGCAGCTCCTTAAATAGATCTGATGGTAATTTTAGTTGTTTTGATTCCTTAGTCCTTTCAGTATGCATTTTTCCCCCCTTCATATTGGGTCTACTTATTGCAGGTTTGTCTAATGGCTACCCACAGTCTTCTACAAATTTTTCCATTGCTTCAGGAGGAAATATGTCATTGGTAGGGGTGCAAAGAGTTTCTAGCCAGATGATTCCTACTCCAGGATTTAGTGTCAGCAATAATCATTCATATACAAATATAGATCCTTCAACTAATAGCAGTTCTTTTTCCGGTGTTGATTCTACTTTACTATCGCAGTCACAATCACAGCCACCACGGCATCAGAAGCTGCAAGATAGTGACCACAACAATCATGCATTGCACAACCTTGGCAGTCAAATGGAGGGTGGAATGAGATCTGATTTGCTGCAAAATTCATTTGCATATCCAAATGGTTCTATAAATAATGGGCTAGGCTTGATTGGAAACAACATACAACTTGCAAATGAACCGGTCACTGATGACTATGCTTCAGCGTACACCAATTCCCCTAAACACTTACAGCAGCACCTGGATCAAAATCAGCAGCAAGTAATGCAGGGTACTCTTTCTTAATCTTTTTGTTTGAATTTATGAAGTATAAAATCAAAGACTTTTACCTCCTTTCCAGATCCTCCCTGTAGTGGTATAATCTTTTTAGCTATATTATTGTTTGTTGGCTACACATGATTTATGATAAGATATTATGGTGTCGACCTAATGGAAAAGGTTTGGTTCTTGTTGTTTGTTGGGTGGGTGGCGTCTATATGTCTATGTGCATACCTTTTCCTTTTGGACTCTGAGGGATGGGAAGGTATTTTTTTTCTTCTCTGTACTAATTGGAATCTCACACAAAAGGTAACAATCTCATTATCAGGTGAAGGATATGGATTGATTAATGTTGACACTTATAATTCTGGAAGCTTTTATGCATCTGCGGCATCATCTGGCTCTGTGATGAACACTCAGAATGTGAATGCAGTAAAACTTCCATCAATACCCGTTACCAGCTCACTGATAAGTGGTCATTCAAATTTGCACAGTATGCATCAGACTTCTCAACAAAACTCTCAAGCAATTAATTCATTGAAAAATTTAAAATTCCAGTCTTCATTTACTTCAAGAGATAGCCATGGGCATACTCAACAGCAATACCAGCCAAGACCCCAACAATGTAACCAGTCAGAGCGGTATGCTGCACAGCAATTTCAACTGAAGCTGCAAAGTCAACAATCTCAGCAATTGGTCAACAGTGATGCCTTCTCTCAAACTCAGCTCTCTTCCAATCTAGACAATCGAGTAAAGTCTGAGTCTGGAGTTGAAATGCATAAAGTGCTCAAATCTCAGCTTTCTGAACAGTTTCATGTATCTGAGATGCAGAACCAGTTCCAGCAGATTTCTTCTAAAGATTGCTCTAAGGTTGCTCAAAATCTGTCATTCTCCTCTGATCAGCATGACTCATTGTCATCATCACCACAAATTTCACAACAAATGTTGCACCCTCATCAATTGGTTTCAGAGTCTCAAAATAATTTTAGCTGTCTTTCAGTTGGATCACAATCCAAATCCATACTTATAAATCAATGGCCGCAATCGCAAGATGAAAACCACGTTCCTCAGGGTATGTCACGTGAGCAGCATCTCCCCATGGATTTTCATCAAAGAATAACAGGGCTAGATGAAGCTCAGTGCAATAATTTGTCATCAGGTGTATCTATTATTGGTCAACCTGTTGCTTCTAGAAACTCAACTGAGCTGCTAGACTCTAGTGGTGCTACAAAAAAGGCACACAGGAATCAACAAAGGTGGCTTTTATTTTTAATTCATGCTCGACGTTGTTCTGCCCCAGAAGGGCGATGTCAAGAACGCCATTGTTCTAGTGTGCAAAAGTTATGTAATCACATAGATGGATGCAGTATTCCTCATTGTCCTTATCCTCGTTGTCATCATACTAGGAAATTGCTTCATCATTTCATAAAATGCAAGAATCCACATTGCCCTGTTTGTGTTTTGGTAAGAAAGTATAGGCGTGCATTTCAACTTCAGCCCCGAATTCGGTCAGATCCCGAATCATGTTTGCCAATTGCATCAAATGGATCATGTGAATCCTATAATGTGGTGGGACCATCACCTAGATTGATCTCAAAGTCTTCTCTAGTGGTTGAAACTTCAGAAGAGCTACCCTCTCTAAAACGTATGAAAACTGAGCAGTGCACCCAGTCCACTAATCCTGAATATGACAATTCTACTGCATCTGTTCTTCCAAATTTTGAATCACAAGATTCAAAGGATACTCAGTGCCAAGCCTATCCCTGTGGTGATATGTCTATATCAACTAAATCTGAGCTTACTGAAGTTAAAGCAGAGGTTCTGGTGCATCCAATTCATGAAAATCTTAGCGAGACAAAAATGGACGAGGATAATGCACATGATAAAAGGCCTGCTGGTAAGCCTGTCACATATAACGAGCCTGCTAATATTGCTAGGCCAGAAAATGTTAAAACTGAGAAAGAAACTGGACAAGATAAGCAAGAAAATGTGACCCAGGCATCTGAACATGCAGCTGGAACCAAGTCTGGTAAGCCCAAAATAAAGGGGGTCTCATTGACTGAACTGTTCACTCCTAAGCAAGTCAGGGAACATATCACTGGCCTCAGGCAATGGGTTGGCCAAGTAAGATTTTATTTATCCTTGTGCAGTTTTTTTCAAAGGAAAAATTACATTATGGCTATTAATTTAATGGTACCATGAAACAGTTATGTTACAGTTTAGAAACTATGAAACACTGGAACATCATTAAGCATAGCCTGCCTTTGTGTTACATAAACCCACAACCCTAGTTAAAAAAAGTACTCCAAGCCCAATATTTGCTGAACACTCTAAAATTACTAAAAATGCATCTACTGGAAATGTTGAACCATGCTTATAATGCATATGCTGCAGAACTTGGGTACCTAATTATCATTATCACAGCTAAATACTTGTGCTGTTTGTGATCTGCTGATTTTTTATTTTTTTTTGCATGCAATGCGTCTATCATTCCATTCAGCATTTGAATCTTCCCCCCTCATTTTGTCAAGTTTATGAAGATAAAATTTCTTATGCTTCTTTTGAGACTTGTTTTACTTTATGCACTCTGCTTTATCATATTGGCTTCTCATTATATTTTTGTGAGGTTTATACTTTATATTTTGCATGCCACAATCCAGATTGACAAATCAACCATTATGTTTTTCTTTTAGATTTTCATGGAATTTATTGAGTTATATAGTCTCAAACACATTGTAAAACCATTCCTATCATCCCAATTATTTTAAAATGGTAGGATATGTTAGTTTCCATGAGATGTTTATAATTTTAAGGCTTGTCTAACAATTATGTAATGCTTTTTTACTTGTTCAGTTGCTGTATCTCATCCTTATACTTCTTTTATTGTCTTCGTATCCTTATTTTTCCCTGATGCATCTATTTTATTGTGACAGAGCAAATCAAAAGTAGAGAAGAATCAAGCAATGGAGCATTCAATGAGTGAGAACTCCTGTCAATTGTGTGCTGTAGAGAAACTTACTTTTGAACCACCCCCTATTTATTGCACAACGTGTGGTGTACGGATTAAACGAAATAATATGTATTATACCATGGGTACTGGTGATACCCGGCATTATTTTTGTATTCCATGCTATAATGAGCCTCGTGGAGATACCATTGTTGTTGATGGGACTCCCTTTCCTAAGTCAAGGTTAGAAAAGAAGAAAAACGATGAGGAAACAGAGGAATGGGTGTGTATTTTATGTCTTATTTTGTTCATCGTATTTTGTTCACGATTGGCAGTTTATTTTGTTTTAGTAACCATCTCTTTTTATCTGCAGTGGGTTCAATGTGATAAATGTGAAGCATGGCAACATCAAATTTGCGCCTTATTTAATGGTCGAAGAAATGATGGTGGACTAGCTGAATACACTTGCCCTAACTGCTATATTCAAGAAGTAGAAAGAGGTGAGCGCAAGCCCTTACCCCAAAGTGCTGTTCTTGGAGCCAAGGATTTACCAAGAACAATTCTCAGTGACCACATAGAGCAACGGTTATTTAGGAGACTAAAGCAAGAAAGACAAGAGAGGGCTCGACTTCAAGGGAAAAGTTATGATGAGGTGATTCATCTCTTTGACATATTACCTATGTAGAGGTTGTTATTGTTACATATAAAACCACCCATGTGACCTCTTTTTTTTTTTTTAGTAATGTTGAATTTCTACAAAAAGTAGGGTGGGCTTTTTGCATTATCTATGCTCTGAGCTCAATGGACTGTTGCATTAGTGGTGTGTACCATTCACAAGCCTTCACCTAATAGCTTAACCTAAGCTTTTAGGAGAATTAGTACTTGATATATTGTTGTTCTTGTCTCTGTGTGTGTGTGTTTTGCGTTGGTGGCATGTTTTTTTGAGGTTGATGATTAAACTCCTAACTGGTTTCCTGTATAGAAAGAATTCCATTTTCGTGGGTTTTATTGTCTGGATGTACCCAGCAGCGCGAGCTCGGAGCTCATCCATGTCGGGAGGAGGTCGTTGGCAAAGGCTATCGATGAAAGGTCCTGGCTTCAACGCCATGAGCATGGAGTGCAGTGCGACCTCGGGGTGTAAGTTGCGATTTTGACGGAGATGCCAACGAAGCGCTCCATGAATGTCCTTATGGTTCGTCGTCGCCTTGTCTGAGGATGGCCAAGGCGGCGGATGTGATGTGATGAGGTCGGCTCGTTGCATATTGCGCCGTGAACCGTCTGACCAGGGTGCCGAAGCTGTCAATTGACTCGGCAGGTAGCTGGGTGTACTAGTTGAGTGCGGCCCCTTTGAGCAAGGTCGGAAAAACCTACACAGAATAGCATCGTTATTGGTGTAGAGGTTTACCTGTGTGGTGTACAGGTTGATGTGCTCGTCTGGGTCTGTCGTGCCGTCGTAGCGGTCGAGGTGGAGAGGCTTCCATCTGAGAGGGAGTGGCGTCTCCATAATGCCGTCCACAAAAGGATGACGGCAGAGGGTTGGTTGATCCCCCGCGACATGAGTAGGAGCATTGCTGACCTCATGGGCCGATTTGTGTGTCGGTGCATGAGATCGATGCGTGGCAGGCTTTGGAGTCAGTGTCCTATGCACTATTGGCGGTTGAGAAACCGAGTGCCCCTCTTCCTCGTTTAGGTGACTCGGTTGAGGGG